ACTGCATGTAGGTCTAGCTGCTGCATCTCAGGAATGAAAGCCCACCAGTGTGCACAGGAGCCAGCCTCCAGCTGGAACATGAGCTGGAACATGGGATCATAGTCATAGAATGGTTTGGGTTGGAAGGGACCTGAAAGATCATCTAGATCCAACCCCCTGCATGGGCAGGGACACCTCCCACCAGCCCAGGCTGCTCCAAGCCCCATCCAACCTGCCCTTCAACACTGCCAGGGATGGGGCAGCCACAGCTTCCCTGGGCACCCTGGGCCAGGGTCTCCTCCTGTAAACAGTGCACCTGCAGACACCTGCAGCCAAGGCAGGGCAGTGCCTCACCTTGGCCAGTCTTGGCTCTTTAAAAAGGGCAACTCATAATTATAAACTCCTTTAACATTCCATAGAATTTTCCTCTGGGAGCTGGAGCTCCCTCATCTCAGACCTTAAGCAAAGCGTCCACGGTTTAGGCGGAACTGAGTGGACGTTTCTAATCAGGGCTGTTCCTTCTCTTCTTTTGAAGGATGAGCATGGCTTTATTGCCAGGGAGTTCAACAGGAAATACAGGATCCCAGATGATGTGGACCCTCTGACCATAACATCATCCCTCTCTCTGGATGGCGTCCTGACCGTGAGTGCACCCAGGAAACAAAGCGACGTCCCCGAGCGCACCATCCCCATCACCCGAGAGGAGAAACCTGCCATTGCAGGAGCCCAAAGGAAGTAGGCTGCTATTTCCAGCCACCCCGGGGGGGCCATTCAAGAGCACTTTTCACCCTGAGCCAGCTATACCGAATGGCTACTCTTTATTATTTATGCTGAGTAAGTTTGTTAACGAATAAAACATGAATAAGCAGTTTGTATGTTTGTTTGTTTGTTTCCGAGCGCTGAGGACATGGGAAGTGTTGGGTGAAGCAAGTTGTGCAAGGAAACAGCCCTGGCATCATCCTTGCCTACAGCCTGAGTGGCAGGTGTGTCCAGGAGAGCTTGTCTGGCTGTTCAGAATCTCTTTGCTACTTTCAGTTTGTCTGCTCGGATGTTTTGCAAACATCTACCAGCAGGAGCCTTTTCAATGTTGCCAGAGGGTTTCAGAGTGTTTCACAAGCAACAGGCAAGTTTCTCCAGTGGAGATCAGACTGGTGAAACACCCTCATGACAGCCGAAACTCGTTTGAAGTGTGGGTATAAGATAACAACTGAGTGGATGGCAACTGTTATCTTACATCCCTAGAGTGACTGGTGGTGTGGAGAAGCACCCAAGGGCTGCAACCAACTTAGAGCAGTTGCAGATGAAAGCTGCACAGCTGCAGGAAACACAGACACATGCAGAGGGGAGGGAAAACACCACGGGAAATCACATCACTTTGAAACTCTATTGTCAGTGCCCTTCAAACAATGAACAGAGTATTAATCTGATTTATCCTAACGCTGTTCAGGGGTACAAACCACCTCTAAGTCCTTCTAAGCACCTCTCTTCAAAGGGACACCAGCACGAAGGAAACTCTGTATTCCTGGAATTGAATTCCTGAAATTCATCTCTAAAAAGGACAGATTGCCACAGATCTGTCACACAGACCATCAGACTCAGTCATGACCTGACTGGTTTTCTATGTTCTTTATGCCTGCTAAGACAAAAGTTACATTAGAAAGGACCAGTTTAAATCTCAAATGAACTGAGAGGACAACCTTCCTCCATGGCTTTGAGTGAGAAAAATAAAACAAGCAGTGATGTGGGTTCACTGTCAAGCAGCCCAAATCCCACCTAATTCCAAGGCCTAGGGTTTCCTATGAGGTGGTTCCAAAAAAGCAGTTCCAGTTCAGGTGTTAGTTGGGCTTGGGCTGACCAGGCACAGGGTGACTGGTGACTGGTGGTCATCTCTGCACAAGAAACAAACAGGAACACACACAGGTCACACCACAATGCAGCTTAGAAAGCAGGAAGAATGTTTGTCACATAAGGAAGTAAAGGCAAAATAGCGGGAATCTATCCAGAAAGTGCAACTGAGGGAGATCTTTTACTACAGAGGAGGGTTTAGTTGGGCTGAAACTCCAGGAATTTTGAGTGGAAGCTCCTTGGGGTTAAACACGATGAGGTTAGCCAGACACAAACACTTGGCATGCAAATACCACTCTCTGAATGACTTGAAATACCTGTTCTGTGGTGGCACAGGAGCACAACTCAACAACAAGAAAGGGAAAAAACCAATTTTGTCATCTCCAAGCACAAGTGTCATTCAGAAGCTCCTCTTCAGCTACACCACGGGTCCAATAGACTATGTTTCAGTTCTATGCTCATATTTTTTATTCTCTGATGCTTTCCCTTTTCATGACCTGGAGTTTGTTATTTCAAAGCAGCCAGGATAGTGAAGGGAAAAGCTCAGATTTAGTAATCTAAGTGTTCTCCTAAGTGGTGACACTGCAGCTCTCAGCTTCACATGGCACTAAATATGTCTCAGAGGTTATTAGCCACCCTGTGAAATAGACAAAGTGATTTATCCAAAGCCACAGGGACCCAGTGCATGAACCAGACTTCACCCACTGCAGGCACCAGGTCCCTGCTGGAGTTTGCCTTTCCCAATTTTAAGCCTCCCACTGTCGTGACACATGAAACACCATCCTGGAGAAGGCTGAGAGGGGACCTTGTGAATGTTTACAAATACCTGAAGGGTGGGTGTCAAGAAGAAGGGGCCAGTCTCCTTTCAGCAGTGCCCTGTGACAGGACAAGAGGCAAAGGAGACAAACTGGAACATGGAAAGTTCTACCTCAACATGAGCAAAAGCTTCATGAAGGGTGACAGAGCCCTGGGACAGGCTGCCTGGAGTCTTCTCACACATAACAAGTCATACTAGGGGAGGTTTAGGCTGGATATCAGGAAAAATATCTTCACAGAAAGTGTTGTCAGGCCCTGGGAGAGGCTGCCCAGGGCAGCTCTGGAGTCTCCACCCCTGGAGGTGTTTGAAAGTCCAGTTCTGGGCACCTCCATTCCAGAGAGATCTCGAGGTGCTGGAGCCAGGACAGAGGAGGCAACAGAGCTGGGGAAGGGCCTGGAGAATCAATCTGATGATGAAGGCTTGAAGGAGCTGGGAATGTTTAGTGTGAGGAAGAGGAGGCTGAGGGGAGAGCTCATCAGTCTCTGCACCTGCCTGAGAGGTCATTGCAGAGAGGTTGGTGCTGCTCCCTTCTCACTGTAATTAGTGACAGAACAAGAGGGAAGGGCTTCCAGCTGCACAGGGCAGGGTCAGACTGGGCTTTGGGAAACATTAATCACAGAATCTGAGGGGTTGGAAGGGACCTGGAAAGATCCCCCAGCCCAGGGCAGGTCACACAGGATCCAGGGGGGTTGGAAAGTCTCCAGAGAAGGAGCCTCCACAGCCTCTCTGGGCAGCCTGGCCCAGGGCTCTGTCACCCTCACAGCAAAGAAGTTCTTCCTGAGATTCACCTGGAACCTCCCGTGCTCCGCTTTGCACCCACTGCCCCTTGTCTTTGCAGGACTATTGCAGAGCAGGGATGATTTTTGAAGCCGTTTTCCCCGCCCCGGGGCGGAGCGGCCCTGGCAGCAGCAGCAGCAAGACCAGAGAGGCGGGGGGCCGGGGCAGAGGAAATGGCCTGAAGCTGCTCCAGGGGAGGTTTAAACTGGATATTAGCAGGAATTTCTTTGCCCAAAGAGGGGTTGGACAGTGGAACAGGCTGCCCAGGGAGGTGGTGGAGTCACCAGCCCTGGGAGTGCTTAAAAGAAATGTAGATACAGTGCTGAGGGACATGACTGAACAGGTAAATCAGGCTGTGGTGGGAGGAGTTGGGTTATGGTTGGACCTGATGATCTTCAAGGTCCCTTCCAACCAGGATGATTCTCTGATCTTGACCTTGAGTGTCTCCAGGGATGGGGCCTCCACCACCTCTCTTGGCAACCTGTTCCAGAGCTTCACCACCCTCAGTGGGAAGAACTTCTTCCTAACGTCCAATCTAAATCCACCCTACTCGAGCCCCTTGTCCTCTTGATACTTGTCCCAAGCCCCTCCCCAGCTTTCCTGGAGCCCCTTCAGGCACTGGAAGGTGCTCTAAGGTCCCCCTGGAGCCTTCTCTCCTCCAGGCTGAACCCCCCAGCTCCCCCAGCCTGGCTCCAGTGCTGCTCCAGCCTCTCATCATCTCCATGCCCTCCTCTGGAGTTTCCCCAGGAGCTCCATGTCCTTATGTTGAGGGCTCCAGAAACCGGGCACAGTGCTCCAGGTGGGGTCTCACAAGATTCCAGTAAAGGGGTAGAATCCTCTTCCTTGACCCCACTTTTGATATGAGGAACTGGAACTGCCCAAGAAGCTGAATCAAATACTCTAAAATCTAGTAAAACGGGAATAGCACTGAGCAAGGAGCCATTAGCTTTGCAAGAGAAGCAAATGCAGCCTGGGCTGTTTGTTTTGCCTCATGCACAAGGGTGGGGGGATGCCTGGCAGCTGCTGCTCTGATCCTGCTTAAAAATGGACTAGAGGACTTTAACTGCTGTACTTCTTCAACATTTTATTTTGGAAGGAGCCGAAGTTTTGTTTTCTGTGGACTGCACCAAGCTGAAGGACTATTTTCCAGCAGAAAAAAGAGAATTTGATTCTATTTATTTCAACTTCCCTCACTGTGGGAGAAAGTCTGGGGTCGTGAAGAACAGGGAGCTTCTTGCCCGCTTTTTCCGCAGGTGAGTAAAGCAGAAGAACTTCCAGGCTGACTGACTCCATGGTGCAGGTTTCTAGCTGTGTTGCAGGTGCTTTTCTGGCACTGTAACATTTCTGGGTGTGCTAGCAGGGTTTTTTCATGTTGCCTGGCTTTCCTTCTAGCTCTGCGGAGGTGCTGGCAGAGGAGGGAGAGGTCCATGTGGCTCTTTGCAATGGTCAGGGCGGGACACCTGCTGACCAACCAAGGAGGGAATGGCACAACAGCTGGCAAATCGTGGCAGTGGCAGCAGGAGCTGGATTCATCCTGAGTGAGGTTCATCCTTTTAAAGCAGAGACTATCCATGGGTACCAGTGCACAGGCTACAGGTAACCACCATGTGGCAAACCTGAGAAGTTGGTGTTCATGCTCTTACAATGCCTCACACTGTATGTTCTTTTAGTATGCTGTTTGTTGGAGAGAGGAACTCACTTTAATTTACCTTAAAACAGCTACCAATTTGTGGCAGAACAGCCAAGATCAAAATGCAAGCTTCTTGCTGAAGTACTATCTAAAAATTAAGATTATTTTAGGATTTTAAAGGTCCATTTCAGAACAAGTGTCAGTCTCAGCCTAAAGACAGTGGGAGGGCTGCAGTTTGCCTGTCTGCTGAGCTGACAGTCATAGAATCACGACGTGGTTGATGTTGTCAGGGGCTTCCAGCAATCATCTGGTCCTGCCCTGCAGCTCAGAGCAGAGCCAGCTAGAGCAGCTCACTCAGAGCCACACTCAGTCTGCAGGGATGGGGACAGCACAACCTTGCTGTGCAACTTGTTCCACCTGCCCAGTAAAAATAGGGTAGTGTGGCATTTTTGTCACCTGAGATTCAACCAGAAGTGTTTTAGTGTTTGTACAGAGAGTTACCTGGGTCAGAAAATATACAGGAAATGATCAGTGACTTTGCTTTTTTCTGTATTGTCAGGAGTCAAGATAAATCTTTCCGTGTAGAAGGTGCTTTAAACCACATTTTCACCAGGAGCACACCCCTTCCCTGCTTCAAACCTGTGGTCTACCAAACAGAAGTGGAAAACCAAACAGTTTATTTTCAAGTACCACAAGTACTTGTGGATAAAATTGATAGGTAAGTTTTATAACAAGTTTCTGTTTGGCAGTAACACGCTCTCCTGCTGTCAGTGGGCATGACCACCATAGGTGTCAGATAAAGTGGAATTGTTGCACTTTTCCTCCTTCCCTGTTTACAGAATTTCCTTCAGTTTCTCCTTCTAGTCTGTTTCATGTTGGCTTGTGCTTGTGGGCTACTGAAAATTCTACAGAACAAAAATAAACTTCATGTTTGGGACCAGGCTGTTGTAGCCTTGAACACACAAATAACAATTAAAACTTCAATCTGCTTTTCTGCACCATGGAAGAAATTCAGGAGCTGACTGAGTGTCTGCTAATGCCATAGGGAAAATAAATAAACACTAAAGGTGAGCTGCTCCATCCAGGGCTAGAATAATTTGATTCATTCCTGTAGTTGGGTAATACCAGTGTGGAGTGGAAAGGGTGATGGCTGTTAAAGTCCCATTTGTTTATTAACAGCAGAGGTGCAGTTAATTCCTGATGGCAACCTGGAGATAAACACCAGTGTCCTGAAAACTGATTAAAGACTTGGCTTGTTTGGGTATTTACCAGCCTGGTATCTGAGATTGGTTTTGGGTAAATTGCTGGCATTTCAACAAAATCTGTTTAGTGGTGTCTGTAATGTGGACATTTTATTTTTCACAGGGGTTTTCTAGAACTCAATTCCAATCATCCAGTAAGGACAGTAAAGGAGAAGCTCACTGCAGAGCTCGACCAAGCCTTTCTGCTGCAGAACACTGACTGCTGCCTTCCCCTGCTCCACCAAGGTCACCTCAGTGGGGTTTGTCACTCAAATCTCTTTTTGATCACTCTGAGCCCAGAGGAGACTCCAAGCACTGAGGAAGTGGCAAATGAAGTTTCATCTCCTCATGTTGACTTTTGCAGGGACACAGATGGGAGTGGCTGGGTACAAGGGGGATGCCACCTTTCAAAACAGTATTATCTTAGACCTTCCCTTCTACCTTATGCTCAGGCAATAATACAAAGAGGAACCTTTGTCCCAGGAATACTTACAGTTCTGTCTGGCCCAGTTTTCAGGAAGTGTCGTATCACTCCTTACTCCATGCCTGTTTTTCATGAGATCATATTTGCCTGTACAGTTAACAGGGGCACAGAGAGCAGCTGTATCCAGATGTTGGTGAAGAACATGAAAACCAGCATACATTCTCTTCACCAGGCTGTTTCCAGCTCTAAACTGAGTATCAGTCTGCAGGAAGCAACGAGCTTTGAGACAACTGAGCTCAATGACTTTGCTGCTTTTGAATCTCAGCTTAGTCAGGTTCAGTACTTCATCTGCATGGACACAGACACTTTGGGCTCCTGTGAGAGGGGCCTCTGTGCGGGAGTTGTAAGGACAGCTCATGATGAATTAACCAGCAGTGACTTGGTTGTTGTCTTGGCTTCGTTGAATCTCGACCTCCTGGCCATGCTGATCTGTGGAATTCCTGACTGGCGGATGCTCTGGACATCAGACAAACGGTTCCTCCAGCAGTTTCCTAGAGGGGAGTTAAGGCTTTTCAAGAGTTTTTCTCTGTATCCACCTTCCTATGTCCACGATGTCAGCTTTTGGCTTCCTGATGGGGAGCGATTTGATGAAGTTGCTTTTCACACCATTGCTAGGCAGGTGTCAGGTGAAATGGTGGTGTCCATCCAGTTAATTGACAGCTTCCAGCGGGCAGAGACCGGACTGAAGAGCCTGTGCTACAGGCTGACCTTCCAGTCCTGCGACAGGGCCCTGAGCCGCCAGGAGGTGGCACAGATGCAGGAGAGATTTCGGAAGGAAATTGCCCAGTGCCTGGGAGTGACTCTTCGCTGAAGCCTTGCAGGTTGTTGCCAGGTGCTGGGCTCGCTCCCGGTGTAAGGACTGGCCGTGCTGGGCTGCCAGAGCCAGGGGTGCTCCCCAGAGCAGGGGGTGCTCCCCAGAGCAGGGGGTGCTCCCAGAGCCAGGGGTGCTCCCCAGAGCCGGGGGTGCTCCCAGAGCCAGGGGTGCTCCCAGAGCCAGGGGTGCTCCCAGAGC